GGAATAAAATGGAATAAAATGGAATAAAATGGAATAAAATGGAATAAAATGGAATAAAATGGAATATAATGATAGAAACGGAATGAAGTAGAGGGCGGACGAGCTTTGATTCCCTTCTGGCTCTCGGTGGCCACTCGGGGCTCGGGCCCGGGGGGGTCCGGGGGGGCTGAGGGGGTTGCTGGGGACAGGGGCAGACGAGGGGTCACTTTTAAGTTACTGTAGGCTGGGGAGGGGACAATGCTCGCCTGTTATTTTTGAAAAGGTTCCTCTCCTCTCCCTCCCTCTCTCCCGCTCCTTTTCTCGTTTTCTCCTTCGGCCACGCAGTTTCCTGGCAACTGTTTAGGTCTGGAATAATTCTGGGGGGGGGTTTATTATTATTATTTATTATTATTATTATTATTATTCCCCCCCGAGCCCCACAGAAAGTTGGGAGTTCAGAGACTCCTGGAAACTGAAAAAAAAGGGGGAAAAAAATTAATAAAAATAAAGCAAAAGGAGGTGGGAAATAAAGAAAAGTTAGTGTTGAGCAGCAGCGGGAGGGATTGACTTGTTCCATGCTGTAATTCCGCATTTCACCAGACCCGTCTCGCCTTTCCTTTTCTCCCCACATCGTTTCTCCCCCCTTTTCCCAGCCCCGGAAATATTCGGGTTTGGATCCCCCCGTCTCCCCTCCCCTTTATTTTTATTTTTATTTTATTTCCTTGTTAATAATTAGCCGCGCTCCTTAATGGAACAATGGTAGATAATTATTGCTCCTTTTCAAAGCTGCCATTAACAAGGTTATTACTGCACGGGAAGTCAGGTAAATTAAACTTAGATTGCTGGAAATTAACTTTCAGGCGGTTTTTGCGCTGGGGGAGAGGCGATTTTTAATTTATTTTATATTTTTATTTATTATTTAATTTTTTTTTTAACGCTTTCGGGGGGTTATTGTTTGAAACACCCGGAGCCTGAAGCTCGGGATTATTTTCCGAAGCGATTTTTTGGGTGTGCAGGAGCGTTGCCAGGGCGGGCTGAGCTGCTGCCAATGGTTTTTCTGTGTCTGAGTTCCAAGAACAAGGGGTTTTTTCAACTGTTTTCGTGCTCTTGGCTTGACTTTATGGCCGCAATAATTCCCTGGGTGGGGAAACCCCCGCTGGGTTCGCACTTCAGAAGGATTCGGGAATTCCAGCTCCCCGCGGGAAAAAAAAAAGGGGGGGAAAAATGAAAGAAAAAGGGAAAAAAGGGGGGAAAAAAAGAAAAAAAGGAAAAAAAGGGGAAAAAGGAAAAAAAAAAGGAAAATAAAGGGGGGAAAAAGGGGAAAATATGAAATAAAAGGAGAAAATAAAGGATAAAAGGGGGGGAAAGGAAAAAAACGGGAAAAAAAGGAAAAAAGGGGAAAAAAGGGAAAAATATGAAATAAAGGGGAAAATAAAGGATAAAGGGAGGGGGAAAGGAAGAAAAAAAGGGAAAAAAAGGGGAAAAGGGGGGAAAAAAAGGCAAAAAAGGGGGGAAAAAGGGAAAAAAAAAGGAAAAAAGATTCATTTTTTTATTGGCCACAACTGCACTGAAGTTTCCACCGCCACCCCCAAGTCCTGAGCGGCTCCAGCTCCCGCACAAACCGCGCTCTGTTCTGCCGGCCTGGCGAAATATTTGGATGTTGTTTTTAATCCCCTCCGCTCTGCCGGGGGCTGCTGGCCAGGAATAAAATAAACCCGGGGCTCTCCCGGCCAGAGAACTTTGTCCATACCCGAAATATTTCTCTTTATCTTTATTTCCGTCAGGAGGGCCAGAGCCGCAGTTAAAGCTCGCACCTTCCGCTGCCTCCGCGATTTTATTGCCCCCAAATCGCTCTGTCCTGGCTTTTTTTGGGTTTTTTTTTTTGAAGGAAACGAGGCCAAAATCTGATTTAAAGACCAGCCTTCAAAGCCCGGTTTAACTTCAGGGTTTGAGGCGTTCTTGTTTTCCCTCCAGCCAGGGCTGGGGCTGGCGGAGGATTCCAAAATAAATATCAATATTGGCCAAAATCCGCCTCCGATTTCCTCGAGGCGGCGGCCGAGCGGCCGAGGCGGGGGTTTTAAATTTGAAATGAAATCTTTAAAAGGCTCGGACAGGGAATAGGAGCCACCCCTGAGCCCCAACACTCAATTCTGGGAGATTTAGTGCGCTTTAAGACCTCCGCTCGTATTTAAATGTATCATAGGTGGCAAATCAATTACACCGCGGGCCTGACCCTCAGGAGGATGAAAACTATGACAGGCTCGGCGGTTTTGGGTGAATTTTCGGGGTTTTTTTGGGAATCAAGTTTTCCTCTTTTCCTGCCCCCCATAGGCAAAAAGATTTTTTTAATTTCCAGAGACGTCACCAACGCGCAATTAGCGAGCGGCCAGCTTTAATTAGTGCGTTTTTAAATTATCTTTTAAAACCCAGATCGTCCAAACTCTTCAAAGAACCACAAATTATTACAACCAGCAGCGGCTGCGAGATTTTTTATTATTATTAATATTTTTCTTTTTAAAATCTATTTTAATTTTATTTTTTGTGCTTTTCCCCAAACTATTTCGAGGGATTTATTGGCGGAAAAAAACACGAGGGCAAACATTTATTTTTTTTTTGTTTTCCGGCAGTTCCTCACGAGCTGGGCTCGCAGGATATCCCATTTCTCTGCCCAAAAAAAAAACATTTGCATGCGGGGCTGCTCGAGCCTGATAATCGCCGGCTTTTTGCAGAGCCGCCAAAATTGCGTAACTCATCAGCTGGATGAAGCTCTCTGCTCCTGCCAAGCTGTTCAACCTCTTATCTCAGCTTTTTCCCCTTTTTCCCCTCTTTTTTTTTTTCACCTCCCTCCCCCTTCTCTTACTCATCGCTCCCTCCCAACATCTTTTATTTAATTTCATTTTAATTTTTCGCTTTTTTTTTTTTTAATTTTTTTCCCCCTCGCAACTTCGGCTCCGTTCCGCGCACAAAGGGGAAACTCTGCAAGAACAAATATCAGAGATATCGGTCAAGGAGGGAGGAGGAGGAGGAGGAGGAGGAGGAGGGGTGGAGGATGGAAAACGATTTCCTCCGCCTGTTATTTCCTTGAATTCTCAGGATCGCGGCCCGAGATGTTGGCGGCCGCGGCACGGAACGATCTTGGCTCGGCTGCTGTAAACACGATGTTTAAAATAAATTAACTCCTAATAAGACCCCGCTTTTATTTTATTTTATTATTTTTTTTTTTTCACTCGAGGCTCTGGCAGAGGCTCCGCCGCGGATGATTTGTAATTCTAGATTTGTGGCGAGCACGATTTTGGCAGATTTCGAGGTATTTCGAGCCCCCGACAGGCAGATGGTTACAAATTCGGACAGGAAACGAGCCCTTGATAAAACTGATCCAGGGGATGGTGCTGGGGTTAATTTAGGTGGATTTTCTTTCATTTTTTAATATTTTTCTTTTTATTTCTTTTTTTTTTAAATTTTTTTGGGGGGTGGCGGTGTCTTTCTGCTGATTTTCCTCCTTGAGAAGCCAAAAAAGAAAAGGAAAAAGCGGCGAGGAGAGATTTAACCCCACCTTGAGGAGCTCGGGGAGGGGGGGATGCGCAGGTAGAACCAAGCGAGGAAATCCAAACAGCAAAAAAGAAAAAAAATTTAAAAAAAATTTAAAAAATCTAAAAAATAAACCAAGGCAAAGCGGAGCTTTGAGGATGACGGAGTCACCCTTTGAATGGGTTTAAATCGGCAAAAATCGGTGTTTTGGGCTTGGGACGGGCTCGAAGGGGGGGACGCGGAGCCTCCAGGCAGGGTCAGAGCCTCAGCTCCGCTCTCCCTGCCCCCCCCGGCAGCTCCGGATCGATAAATTCCGCTTTTCCCCCTAATCCCAGGAGCCGCTTTTGGCCATAAAAGGTCGGGAGCGGAGCTGGTATTGACAAAAAAACGCAAGAGGGCACAATGCGGTGCCGGCCAGCGGAGGAGAGCGGGCTCTAACCCAAGGAAAAAAGGGGAATATTTGGGTTTTCCGGTCATCTCCCGGAACGCGGAGCTTTTGCGGCGCCGGGAAAAGCGCGGAGAGGCGGCGGAGGCAGAGCGGAGCTTGCGCTCGAGCTTTGCCGGGCGTTAATTGACGGTAATTAACGGAGCGCGGAGGGAGTGGAGTTGTCAAAAAAGCGATTTTTTGGAGGCGAGCGAAGCCGGCCCCGGCAGCGCCGCGGGGTCTCCCCCCGGCAAACTTCGCACGAAAAACTTTTAATTTCACTTTTCCCCCCACTTTTCCCCCCATTTTCCATTCAACCCCGGGCCGGAGCACCCGGACATTTCAGAACCACTCGCAGGCGCGAGGGGTTAAACTTTGCCCAATACCACTAATTAACTTTTTTATCATTATTATTAATTTTTGTTTAATTCCCCCCCCACCCCCCCTCTCCGCACGGCTCCGCCGGCTATCCGCACGCGTTTTTTTGGGTGGAAACAGAAAGATTTAGGCGCTCGCACCTCCATCCGAGCCGACGGGCGCTCCGCACCCCCGCGCCGAGCTGCGGGGGAGGGAGGAAGAGGAGGAGGAGGAGGAGGAGGAGGAGGAGGAGGAGGAGGGGGGCACCACACGTTTATTTATTTATGAAGCTCGCAGCGCGCCGGGAGAAGGTTTCTTTCGGCAGATATTATATATTTGGTTAAGGGGGTGCCTTTCTGTTGTTTAAAAGGGAGGGAAAAAGGGGGTGGACGGTTTGTTCTTGGGGGTCCCTGGTGCAATCTCAGCTCCTCATGGGTGCTATTTTGCAACCTCAGGCGCCTGCTATTGGTCAGCCCGTGATCAGATGGTTGTATTTCCTTGTGTCCCTCGCTGGCACCACGCCATCTCCCTTCAGCTAAAACCCAATCTCCGATATAGCACTAATAGCTAAACCACTTGGACTATAAAACACAACAAATCATAAAGCCCGGGCATTAAAAAAAAAAAAAAAAAAAAAAAAAAAAGGCGGGGAAAAAAAAAAAAAAAAAAAAAAAAACAAAAAAAAACAAAAAAAAAAAAAAAAAAAGGACGGCGGCAAAAAAAAAACAAACAACAAAACCAAAAAAACCAAAATACAAAACAACAAAACAAAACAAAACAAAGCAAAACAAAACCAAACAACAACAAAAAACCAACAACCCACCCAAAAACAGGGGGAATCTCTCTCTCTCTCTCCTCTTTCCGATGAGTTCTTATTTTGTCAACTCGACCTTCCCGGTGAGCCTGGCGGCGGGGCAGGAGCCCTTCCTGGGACAGCTCCCGCTGTATCCCTCGGGCTACGCGGATCCTTTGAGGCACTACCCCAGCACCTACGGAGCCACGGGCGTGCAGGAGAAGGGCTACACCTCCTCTCCTTACTACCAGCAGAGCAACGCAGCCTTCGGCAGCCGCGGCTCGGCCTGTGACTACGGGCCCGGCGGCTTTTTCAGGGAGAAGGAGGCTCCTCCGTGCGCCCCCGGCAGCCTGGACGAGGTTCCCTTCGCCCCCGAGCCGCGCAAGCCGGACTGCGCGCAGAGCAAAAGTGTGTTCGGAGAGAGCGAGGAGCAAAAGTGTTCCGCGCCGGTTTACCCCTGGATGCAGCGGATGAACTCTTGCAATAGTGAGTTTTACTCTTTTACAGAAATAAATGCATCAATCTCCTCCTCCCCGACCCCATCCTCTCCCCCCCCCCCCCCCCCCCCCCCTTTCTTCTTTTTTCTTCCCACG